GGGCCCATCCTCAGCTCCTTCCCGCAGGATTCCGTGGTGGGATCGGCCGGAGCTCCCGTCCTTGCAGCCTCTGGGGCCTCCCTGGGCTACGGGGGCTACGGCTCCCTGGGCTACGGGGGCTACGGCTCCCTGGGCTACGGGGGTTACGGATCCCTGGGCTACGGGGGTCTCTATGGATATGGGGGTTATGGATATGGGGGCTACGGGGGTCTCTATGGGTATGGGGGCTATGGGGGCCTGTATGGCTCGTGTGGGGGCTACCGTGGCCTGTATGGCTCTGGCAGAGCCTTTGGCTCTGGCTATTGCAGCCCCTACTCGTCCTGGTCCGGCCGCTACGGCCGCGGCTTCTGGGGGTCCTGCTGAAGCCTCTGGCTGATGTAAAAGGGCAAAGCAAAATTCAGATTTTTCTCCCCTTTAAATTCTTTCCCGATACCTCCACGGGTTCGATTCCTCGTTATTTTCTTCTCTGCCCCCCCTGTGGCTGAATGCAGGGACAGACTGAAGTGTCTTTCAGGCTCTGCCGTCTTGCATTTACAACCCTGATGTTACCGTGCTGTTTGTGTTCTTTTCGTTCTCATTAAAACTCTGTTGCATCACTGAAAATCCTCGCGTTGGGCTTTTGTGTCCTCACCCACCCCGGGTTTGCCAAACTGGCTGGGTAAACCTCCCTGCTCTGCAGGAGGCTGAGAAAACATTGAGCAAACCCTGCCCAGAGGGGGAAAATCTCCATGGGGAACCTTCCATGGGCTCGTTTCACCCATGGATTTGCAATTTCAATAAATCCACCGAATTTCAACGCGGTCACAGCGTGGTGGCCAAAGATGAGCAGAAGTTTCCCCTCCGTGTTGAGCCCTGTGTGCAGAGGGAATTTCCTCAAGTCCAGAGCAAGGACCTCGTGAGTGGTCACGGAATCCTAGAATTGGGTTGGAAGAGCCTTGAAGATCATCAAGGCCATGGGCAGGGACATCTTCAACCAGGACTTGGGCAATTCCAGGGATGGGGCAGCCAGGGAACCACCTGTTCCAGGGAAGAATTCCTTCCCGAAATCCAATCTAAACCTCCCTTCTGGAAATTTAAATCCATTTCCCCCTTGTTTTGCCACTCCAGACCCTTCTAAAAAGTCCCTCCCTGTTTTTCTTGTGGCCCCCTTTAGGTCCTGGAAGGCCACATTTGGGCCAGCCCAGAACCTTCTCCAGGCTGAAAAATCCCAGTTCCTTCATTCACTTCGTATCCCCAGCATTTGGGACTCCTTTAGTTCCGTTTAATTTATTTAAATATGAAACAGAAACAGAATTTGTGTCCGTATTTTAGAAGTAGCCTAAAACCCAACAAAAGCACTGCACCATAAATGTCATTATCTTCTTATGTCATCAGCAAAGCACAAAGCCACCTCCTGAGTCAGGCAGATCTTTATCTCACAAGGAGTTTTCCTTATCTGCTCCAGCTGCCAAAAGATCTCGGGGTACGCATTTTCCTGCAGCAAAAACAGATTTGTTTGAACGTCACCACGTTTAGAGAACTTCTGGCCAGAAACTGGAGGGGAAAAAGTGAATTTAAAAAGGCAAAAGCTGCTGCAGTGCCCATCTCCCCTCTTTGTAACGGGACAGAAAATTTCTCAGTGTTGATTACCTAAAAAAGCAGTGAAAAAAAAAATCTGGTTTTTATTTCATTGTCTCTGGAAAATTGAACGACTCCCAGCAGAACTCAGACCTTCCCTAATGGCATCCAAATAACAGGTGGAGGGGATGTTCTACATCCTGCCAGGACCTGAAAAATCAGCCAGAAAATCTATCTACCCCCTACCAGGACCTGAAAAATCTGTCAGGAAATCTGTCTACTTCCTGCCAGGACCTGAAAAATCTGCCAGAAAAACCCGTGGGGGTGAAGGTGAGGGTAGGAAAAGCTCAGGTTATGAAAGGAGCCCTTAAGCAGGGTTTAAGCCGGGCTCTAAGGGAGGGAAGGGACAAAGGTTGGTGGCTGAGCCACCACCCCGGGGCCAGGGCAGTGCTCGAGTTGGTCACCAGGAAATGTGATGGCCACTGGGTGACGTCAGCGTGGCCTTCACCCACCAGAACATTCTGTGGGATCAGGGGAAAAAACTTGGAAATCTGATGGAAATGGGAAAATTGAGTGTCCAGCTCGGGCAAGGGGGACGTGGAGGGGTTGGGGAATGTCCAGGGATGGGAACGGGGCTGGAGCAGCTGGAAAAAGGGAATGGAGAATCCTGGAGGGGAATCAGCCTGGAGGAAAGGGGGATCCAGAGGGAATTTTGGGATCTTACAGGGAAAATTTGGGTTCTGATCACAGGGAATGGGACAAGAGGGAACGGCCTCGTGCTGTGCCAGAGGAGACTCCGGGAAACCTGGGGAAATTCCTCCTGGAATTGGAATGGACTCGGGGAGGTTTAGAGCGACCACCCCTGGAGGTGCCCGAGGAATTCCCGGAATTCTGCGCGTCCAGGTGGGGATCGACCCCACGTTGGACTCGGTGACCTCGGAGCTCTTTCCCAACTTAAACAATCCCGGGATTCTGTGAAACTCCAGGCGGTTTCGAGGAGGGCCCTCGGATAAATCCTGAGCTTCAGGAGAACCCGAGGCTCCCATTAACGCCTTTATCACACCCGGGTCGCCTGGCGGTGACGAAAGAGTTTTGCTCAATATTTTTCTGTTTATGAGTCGATTCAAATTCTGACGCCGCCGCGAAAGGCAAATTACAACCCAAAGATTTCTTTCATCTCAGCACTTTAATTGGCCCGGGGTTCACGGTTCCGTGAAATTCATTGGGAATGACAGCGAGGATTCTGCTGCTTCATTTATTCACCTCTCATTAGCTGACATAATGCTGCTGGCTCAGGTGTTAATCATCATTTTTATCTGCTTGAAGGTGCAAGATTTTCTCCTTTCTTCTTCACCCGTGTTCGATAAAAAAAAAAAAAAAAAAAAATTGATGAAAACCTCGGTGTTTTCCATGTGAAATCAGCAGCTTTTACGAGTGGTTGGAATTCGGATTTGGGCAAAACCGTCCAGAGTTTTTCTGAGGAAGTTACAAATATTTTTAAATCCATTCAGATCTGAGTTTTGTCTCCCAGATGTTCAGGCTACAAACAGAGAAAATGTGAATTAAAACATCAGCACAAAAGGAGAAACTCACCCAAATAAAAGAAAACTTAAATTAGATGAGAAAATCCCCTGAAATCCTGAGGTGAGAAACCATGAGCTGCTGAAAGGAACAGGAAGAGTTCACTTGGATAAATTATTTTCTGTTTTATTTTTAATATTTATTTAAAGAAAAATTTTAATTACATTTCAAAATGCTGGCCTGTCAGAACACAACCACATATTTATATTGCATTAATCACACCCCATTTCACACATACACTAATAAGGAGGGTTTGGGAACTGATTAAAAACACACCCAAAAAAATATATTTGGACATGTTTTGGGGGGAAATTATTCCTGTAATCCCCTGGGGACCTCCCGAAGTTTGGGGGAAAAAAAACCTCTCAATTTCAGTGTAATTTCAATTTCAGAAATGTGTTTATTTAATAACCCACCCACAGCAAATCAGGGGTTTTGAGGTGGGACCTGGCAAAGTTCATCAGTGAAAAAACCACGCTGCTATCCCTCCAGGAGAAAAAACCTTTGTTTTAGGTGCTAAAATATTGTGTTTTCTGCACTGAGGAAAATTTGGAATCTCCCAATCCCAGCGGCCAAATCCACAATTCCCACAAAGACCTGAGGTTTGTGGCTGCGGGTGCGAGAAACTCCGGGAGGTTCCTTCCACCTCTCCACGCATCCCATTGCAAAATCGGGGGAGCAGAAACGACGAGAGCCGAGATCTGGAACCCTTAAACCCAAACCTGTGCACGGCAGCAGGTTCTGACTCCGATTAAAATCGTTAATGAAGCTAATGAAGGGGGAAGCTAACGAAGGAAGTGCTCAGCAAATGGGATTTAATTCCCGCTGGGTGGGATGGGGCTGCTCCATCAGGCTCCGAGATGAAAGGGAGCCGGGAGCTGGAATGTGCCGATGGTGCTGGGCAGAGGTTCAGGGTGGTTTTGCAAGCTGCGAGCGAGCAGAGTTGCGTCACTTTTGGGGAGTGATTTGGGCTCGTCCGAGGTGGTTCAGCCCCGGGGCATCCCAGGCTCTGTATAAAAGCAGCAGCTCTGCGGAGATTTTCCATCATTCTGCTGCTTTTCTCCTCTCTGTCAGGTAAGTCTGATGCTTTTCCATTCCTCTCCCAGCTCCAACCTTTGCTTTTTGAATTTTTATTCCAGCTGCTGTTCGCAGCGATTGCTTTGATTTCCAGGACTTTATTTTTCCTTTATTCTTCTTTTTATTCTTTATCCTATCCCCTCTCTATCCCGTTTTATCTCATCTCCATCCTATCCCATCTCCATCCTATCCCATCTATGTTCTATCCCATCTCTGTCCTGTTTCATCTCCATCCTATCCCATCTCTGTCCCATTCCATCTCCATTCTATCCATCCTATCCCATTTCCATCCTATCCCATTTCCATCCTATCCCATCCCATCCCATTCCATTCCCATCCCAACCCATCCCATCCCATCCCATCCCATTCCATTCCCATCCCATCTCTGTCCCATCTCTGTCCCATTCCATCCATCCTATCCCATTCCCAACCCATCCCAACACCAACCCCGCTCCCGTCCCACCCCAATTTTTCCCCCGCCCCAATTCCCCACCTCCCCCAACCTCTCCACCCGACCCTCCCTTTTCAGCAGCTCCTTCCCTGCCTTCCAGGAACCACCTCCACAAGGAAATGTCCTGCTACGACCTCTGCCCCAGCCCCAGCGGCATCGCCTGCCCTCAGCCAGTGGCCAACAGCTGCAACGAGCCGTGTGTGCGCCAGTGTCCCGACTCCACCGCCCTCATCCAGCCTCCCCCGGTGGTCGTCACCTTCCCCGGCCCCATCCTCAGCTCCTTCCCGCAGCAGGCCGTGGTGGGATCGGCTGGAGCCCCGGTTTTTGGTGGCTCTCCGGGTTATGGGGGTGTCTACGGCTCCGGGGTTTTCCCGGGGTACGGGGCTCGCTCTGGTTACGGCATCTCGGCGCTGGCCGGCGGCTCCTGCGGCCCCTCGGGGTCTCGGCGCTTCAGTCGCCTCCTCCGCGGCTCCTGCGGGCCCTGCTGAGGCCACCGGGGCGTCCAGGGAATCCTGGCGATGCCCAAATCCACGGCCACGAGGGTGAGGGGTCAGAGCTGCCACGGCCCCCTCCGCATTCCCCATCCTTCTCCTACTTCTTGTTCGGCGCCTCCTCATTGTTGGCTCCCGCTGCCTGATCCAGCATTCCCGATTTATCAATCCAACATGGGACAGCCCAATCCCTGATCCAGCATTCCCAAATTATCAATCCAATGTGGGACAGCCCAATCCCTGATCCAGCATTCCCAAATTATCAATCCAACGTGGGACAGCCCAATCCCTGATCCAGCATTCCTGATTTATCAATCCAACATGGGACAGCCCAATCCCTGATCCAGCATTCCTGATTTATTAATCCAACGTGGGACAGCCCAATCCCTGATCCAGCATTCCCGATTTATCAATCCAACATGGGACAGCCCATTCCTTGTTCCAGCATTCCCAAATTATCAATCCAACGTGGGACAGCCCAATCCCTGATCCAGCATTCCCGATTTATCAATCCAACGTGGGACACCCCATTCTCTGTTCCAGCATTCCTAATTTATTGCTCCAACATGGGACAGCGCATTTCCAATTTATTGCTCCAATATGGGACAACCCATTCCTTGTTCCAGCATTCCCAATTTATTGCTCCAACGTGGGAACAACCCATTCCCTACGGATTTCACCCACAATGACCAATATCCTCGGACATCAGCCAGGAGAAGCCGACTGAGGACATCTGGGAGTGGGACTTTGGTTGGACTTTCCCCAAAATTGTCTGGGAACGGATTTTCCCCAGGAATGGATTTTTTTCCCCAGGAATGGATTTTCCCCAGGAATGGATTTTTTTCCCCAGGAATGGATTTTTTTCCCCAGGAATGGATTTTCCGCCTTCTGTGACCTCGGGCTTTGTAAAGGGGCATTTCTCACTCATTAAAACTTTGTTGCATCACACAGCAGCCTCCTGGTTTCCATTTTTCCCCCTTTTTTTCCCCCCATTTTCCCTTCTCCCATTGATCTGCCCGCAGCCAAGGCCGAGCTGCTCCCTGAGGGGGAGCACAGCCCGAGTTTCCTCGGTTTTCCAAATGTTTCTGTAATAAAACTCCTCGGCAGCAGCTTTTCATCCTTTGAAGGTCAAAAAAAAAAAACCTTAAAAAAAATCAATTAAAATAACAGAATTCCAAAGGTCGGAAAAGCCCATGGGCAAAATTGACATAGGGAATTTAGCAGGTAGAAATATTCTATTGTTTTCTGTTTATCAAGGAATTCTGAAATCAAGGAATGGTTTGGATTGGGAAGGACCTCCAAAGGTCATCCACTCCAACCCCTCTAGTTTTCCATCACTAGATCAGGTTGTTCAAATCCCTTTGAACATTGCAAAAAAAAAAAAATTTAAAAATAAAAAATAAAAGATTCCAGACATTCCTATTAAATTATTTGGGTTTCAAGTTAAAAAAAAAAAAAAAAAAAAGAAAAAGGAGTCAATGGGCTAAAAAAGAAATTTTTCTCCAGTGTGTCTGATGGAGAATTTCATTTAGATCACCTGAAAAACATTAAAATGCAGCTCTTACAATTGCAAAATAATAAAAAATGGCAAATCCTCACTTTGCTAATCCCACTGGAATCTGGCCCCGGGCTTGCAGGGAATTTGCCAGCCTGGAGCACCTCAAATCCATTAAATAAAGATTTCGCCAGCCTGGAGCACCTCAAATCCATTAAATAAAAACTTTGCCGGCCTGGAGCACCTAAAAACCCCGTCAAATAAAGATTTGACCCATTAAATAAAGCATGGAAATCAAACACGAGAGGTTTCATGTGGGATTGGGCTCAAGGCTGTGTTTGCAACGCCTTTAATGAGTCAGCTGCTGATTGCATCTCAATTAACAGCAATTCCCTCGCGCTGGGACTGAACCGGGGTAAGACAAGGGTGCAGTGACCTCTGGGGTTCAGGAGGAGAGTTTTCCTCATCCTGAGAGTTTTCCCTGGAATTCTCTGGTTTTATGGATCAGGGGCCTGAGTTGCTGCCATCAGAATTTTTCAAGCCCGTTCTTCTTCAAATTCTGCCCGAGATCTCCAGGAAATGTCACAGTTGGACGCATCCAGAAAATGCTGATTTTTGTATTAAATTCCCTCCATAACCCGGGGTCGAAGGAACAGAGGCTGCTCCAGAGCAGAGATGGAAAAAGGAGGAGAAAACTCCCTAAATTTTCAGCTCTTTTCCCTCTGTTTCTTTCTTTTCTTTCCAAGCCCAGGGAGAATTAAGGAATTAAAGGCGAAGGAATTGTCCTTTGGGGTTTCATGGAACTGGAAAATGCTTTGGGTTGGAAGGGACCTTAAAGATCTTTGATTTATGGGCAGGGACTCCCTCTTCTATCCCAGGTTTCATTCCAGGGATGGGGCAGCCAGAAATTCCCTGGAAAAGCTGTGCCAGGGCCTCCCCACCCTCCCCCAGGGTGAGAGTGGGTTGCTCTGCAGGGAGCACCTGAACAACTCTAATTTAATTTAATTGGATTTGTTTAGGGGAAAGTTCAAGGAACTCGCAGAATTCCGCCAAAAAAAAATTTGCCTTTCGGTTAAAAAAATTCCTGCGGGAATTTCCAAGGGAAAGTTTTTCCACCCAGGCTATTTTTAAACAATTAAAAAAAAATAATAAAAAAAACCATAAAATCACCGTGTGGGGCTGGAATTAAATCGCAGCCCGGGGCAGGCATTGAGACACAAATAATCCGAGTCACCCGTGTTTGACTTTCTTTGGGAACAGGGAACAGCCACGCCCGCCCTGAGGGGAAGATCCCGATGGAATTGGGAGAGTTCCAAGACGCCTTTATCCCTCCTGGAATGACTTTGTGTCGCCGCAGGAAGAACCCGGGCACTTTTCCCGGTGTGGGAAAGGCACCAAAAGCTGCGAGAACGGTGGCAAAACCGCCCCAAAAATGATGGATTAAAAGCACAGGGGAAACTCTGGATTTTTTGATGCACGATGGTTTAATGAGAAAAGAGGAAAAGGAGAGGAAAACAGCGGGGGGAAAAGGGAGGAAGGGATGGCTCCAGGGCTGGCCATTCCACACGGGTGATTCCCGAATTTTCAGGCCTGGGAAGGTCACACGCCCTCAATCCCAATTCCAGCCGGGCAGGGATGATGGACAGGACCATCCCCGAGCTCGTTTTTTAAGGGAACAAAAAGAAAAAAAAAAAAAAAAAAATCAAGAGTCAGAAAAGGGAATTGGGGTAAAAGCACGGAGCTGTGGATGCTCCGGGAATTTCTGGAAGCTCTTTGCTCCTTCCTGCTCATTCCTTGCAGGGTCTGCAGCTCCCGGAGGATCCGTAGGACGAGTAGGACCTCCTGGAATTGTAGGAGCCGTAGGATCCCAGGAAATTCCCGGATCCCAAGAAATTCCCGGATCCCGGGAAATTTGAGGGTGCCGAGGATCCCACGACGCTCTCCTGGGGGCAGGAGCTGAGGATGGGGCCAGGGAAGGTCATGACCACGGGCGGGGGGTAGATGACAGCAGTGGAGTCCCCGCAGGAGGTGACACAGGGCTCGTTCCAGGTGCTGGCCACGGGCTGGGGGCAGGAGATGCCGCAGGGAGCCAGGCAGCGAGAGCTGGAATTCCTCGAGTAGGAAAACATCTTCTGGGAATGCGGCTGGGGGCTGGAAGGTCAGGGAACGATGGGGTTGGGAAGAGAGAGAATGGACAAAAAAAAAAAAAAAAAAAAAAAAAAAAAAAAAAAAAGATGAGAAGCTCAAAATTTGGCTTTTGCCATTTTCTCGTGTCCTTGTCTCCCCGTTTCTCCCGACTCTTAATTGTGGAGTCGGTCTGACACAAAAATATCCCTCAAAATGAATAGTAAACCCCAAAAAGAACAGTAAACCCTGAAATGAAAAGTAAACCCCAAAAGGAACAGTAAACCCTAAAATGAAAAGTAAACCCCAAAAGGAACAGTAAACCCTAAAATGAAAAGTAAACCCCAAAAGGAACAGTAACTCCAAAATGAACAGCAATCCCAAAATGGACAGTAATCCCAAAATAAACACTAACCCCCAAATTAACAGTAAACCCCAAAATAAACAGCAACCCTAAAATAACTGGCAACCCCAAAATTAATAATAACCCAAAAATGAATAGAAAACCCCAAAATGAACAGTAAACCCCAAAATGAACAGTAAACCCCAAAATGAACAGTGGCACCCAAATCAACAGTAACCCTAAAATAACCAGTAACCCCAAAATGAATAGTAAATCCTAAAATGAACAATAACCCAAAAACGAATGGTAAATCCTAAAATTAACAATAACCCCAAAATGGATGGTAAATCCTAAAATTAACAATAACCCCCAAATTAACAGTAACCCTAAAATAAACAGGAAGCACTAAAGTGAACAACAAACCCCAAAATGAAGAGTAAATACTCCCAAAATGAACAATAACCCCAAAATGAACAATAACCCCAAAATGAACAATAACCCCACAATGAACAATAACCCCAAAATGAACGATAACCCCAAAATGAACAGCAAACCCCAATCCCTGCCCTCCCCGCAGTTCTGGGCACGAGCAAAGCTCGGTTCAGATCCCGACAATTCCAGGATCAATCCCAGGCTCGGCCTTACCCCAGTGGAGCTCGGAGAGAGTCGGGAGGATTGTGTGGAGCAGCTCAGAGCCCAGAGGGTTTTTATCCCTTTTCTTGGGCAATCAGCTGGAGCTGAAACATCCACGGTTGATGAATGATCCGACAAAAATTCTCTCCACCTGTCACTGCCCCAGATAAAGCGATTATTTGGCTCAGCAATTATTGCTGTTGTTGTTACATCCCCGGCATTACTCAGGCACAGTAATGATTTTTTTTATTATTATTTTTTTTTCCC